GTCTGTTCAAGTTGGCTCCTGAGTATTTTTTTTAACACAGCCCCCAGAAGTCTAAAAATAGCTTCCTTATTTCTGGTTTGACAAGATGTTCCAGAATCATCTTGTACATTTCCTGCCCCAAACCTTGAATTTCTGCAAGTAACACTGCTTCATTTTAGAGACAATGTTTTTTTCAAGACCACAATCTGGGTACTAGGAGTGCTCTTTGTTCCTGAGTTGGTCGTTATTTCTAGGTATTTTTAGTGGACAGAGCTAAGAATTTATCTTAAAGATTAAATATTTCATGAGTTCATACTGATACTTAAAATTCAAATCCCAGACCACAGGTTTTAAATTAACCTCTTTGATCTTACATCTGTATCTGTTTTCTTCAATGTTGAAAATCCCAATTCTCAGTTACCAGGAATGATAGAATTAAAAGCTGTTTGCATTTCTTTTTTGTGTGAACTGACTATTCATTTCTCTAGTCTGTTTTTAAGGGTAGTTGATCTCTTCTCAACTTTTAAAAGCACTTTTATATATATAAATATTAACCCTTTTTTGGTGATATAAGTTGAAAGCACTTTTTTTCCAGTTTGTCATTTGCATTTTTTCTTTGTTTATGGAGTTTTCAAATTGTGCTAAAACTAAAAATATATACATAATAAAATTTATCTATCTTCTTTCTTATTTCTTACTTCCTCTGGATCTTAAGTGACAGTTGAGAGAGATTCCCCCATTCCCGAATTGTAATATAGTTTACCCATCTTTTCTTCTAGTACATGTATGAATTAATTTTTTACACTTAAGTCTCTGATTCTTATACAATCTGTCCTATGGTATAGCTTGAGGAATGGATGCAATGGTTTCTTTACCCAACATGGCTTTCCAGTTCCCCTTATGCCACTCAATATAAAGTTCATCTTTTCCTCCTGACCTGAGCTTTACCTGAGGCCTAAGCTGTTGGTGGTGCCCTGTCTATAACCCCTTGCTGTTACCACTTCACTATATGCCAACAGGAGTTCCAGTTACCATCAGCTGCTTTTCTTTACCTGTGGGTTTTCTCTGGGTACTAATGAATACCTATTTGGCCCATACACTGCAGCTGCAAGTATCTGGGAATTAACATTTCTCCAAAATGGTCTGCAATCAATGACCCATAGAAGTTGCTGACAAAATAAGCTTCAGGAAGGACAACACTGAGACACATGTTCTTCCCAAAATTACCCAGCAGAAAGTAGTGATAGGTACCCACTGAGGTAATTCGCTTGATAACACAACCTTTTTGGCTGCCTTTCCTTTCTATTTTTTTAATTTCCGCATGCCCTTCCTGGTATTTCTGAAGATCACTTCACAAATGAACATATGCGCCCTAATTTTTGTCTCAGTATCTGTCTTTTTTTTAACTCTCACTTTTTATTCATAAGAAAACATGTCAAATTATTTTTTTTACAGTTTGAATTTTTTTATAGTGAAAAATTACAGACATATACAAAAGTAAATAGAATTGTACAGTTAATCTCTATTTTCATTCTTGTTTTATCTATTGCCTGTCCCATTTTTTCTGTAGTACTTTAAAAAAAAGCATAGTCATCAGTATCTCTTGGAGGATCCAAGCTGAAGCAATTTTTTTTAAGTTTTTAATTTAATTTTTTATTTACTTATATTTATTTTTTTAATCATACTAAATTTGCATATTTATTATATTTTCTACTCTATTTTGTTAATCTGTTTATTCATGCTTTGATACTCCATTGTTTTAATCATAAGAGCTTTAAAGTTAGTGTTAAAATCTGGTATAGACAGAATTTTTTGCTTTTTTTTGTCTCACAGTTTTTCTAGCTACGTTTGATTGTTTAGTTTCTTATATGAACTTTGTAATTACTATGTCTAGCTTCAGGGAAAAAACTGTGGCATTTTTATTGAGATTGCATTAAATTAATGTTTTAAAGGTAATTACAATAATGTTTAGTTTTTTTTCTATCCAAGAACCTGTTATATCTTTCCATTTATTCTCATCTATCTTTGTGCTTTTAAGAGTGTTTTAGGGTCTGCCTGAGCAGGATGGGATCCCTCTGGCTACTCTCTCCATTCTCTCCCCAAAGCCTCCTTCCCCGGTCTCTCCTCCAGCCTCTCCAGCCCACTCTGACCCCACCTTTGCTGGAGACCAGGAGTCCAAGAAATTTGAAAGAAACAAAACCCAAAACCTCTGAACCTTGGCATAACAAGGGATAAAAACAGAACAGCATGGAATCTTCCACCAAACCCGCTACTGTTCTTGGTGATGTCAGCAACTGCAAAGAAGACATCTAGCGCTGTGGATATCTAGGCTCACCACCATTTTCCCTACTCCCCGTCCCTGCCCTTTGCCTCATAGGTTCACTGTCTTTCCAATAACGAGTGAAATCTCAATGGCAAGCCACTACTTATTACCATCTTCTATTTTCCTGCTTATTGTAGAATCTCAACAGCTCTAACACTTTGAATGTGTTGATTCCTCTTATTTATTGAGCGTGTCCTTTTTATCTTTCTATCACACCCAGTACGGTCTACTTGCTGGTGATTCCAAATTTCTCCTTCAGTCTCTGGGAGCGACCGCTGTGGGAAAACACTCTTGAGATTATTAGGTGCCCTTTTTACTTCAGATGAGAAAATCTACTAGGCACTGGCTAAGTAAGCAGTACCCTTTGGCAGAGAGTTGCATAGCCACATACACAATTTGATTTTTACCTGTGGGCTTCATTTGATTGAGAATTTTTTTTTCTTTTTTACCAGCTGGAAAACAGGGAATGACAGTTGGCTTATCCTCCAACTCAGCAAGTTCTGGGTCGTTTCTGCGTCCCCTAAATTCTTCTTGTAAACGAACCTGTTAGTTCCAGCTTATACCCCTCCTCCTGGATCTTATCATACACTACATAGGGGGCAGCCTGGCACATTCAACACTCTGTCTATAGATCTCTTTTGCCAGATCCACAGGTTCATTAGGTATATTCTCTATGTTTGAATTTACCACAAGGAATTTACTACAGTGCCCTTCCCAGCCTCCAATTTTCTCACTGGTGTGGACTAAAAAGGTCATGGTGGCCCCACCCCAGGCATATAACTTTTTTAGTGAAATGTTTATCTTTGCTTTAACCAAGCCCTGTCCATTTGTGTGTATGTGTGTGTGTGTGTGTGTGTGTGTGTGTATCTAGCTTAGCACACCTTTGAATTAAGTGGTAACTGCCCTCAAGAGAGCATATAATTTTAACCACCTTGCTTTCTCCCACCTTTATGTAATCTTCCTTACAGTCCCGCCTTCATTTCAAATTCATAGAAGAAACTGCAATATATTATTCTCATGAGCATTGAGATCTTGCTTCTGGGCAGTTGTCATCAGTTTTGGCTCAAACTCTTATACAAATTCTCAAAACAAAAAGAGTGTTTTATATTGTTCTTCATACAGGTTTTGGACTTTTATTGTTAAGGTTATGCTTATGTGTTTAATTTTCTGTTGTTATAAATAGGATCTTCTCTTTCATTATATATGCCATGTGATTTTGTGTGTTTTATACATATGTGAAAGCAATTTATTTTGTATACTAATTTAATAACTTGCTAATTAACTTCTTTCATCTTTTGTAGCACACAAAGCCTTCCTACCTCCCCTCCTCCCCGTGAACTCTCTTGCCCATCCAGGCACCGTCTTCTATGCATCTCTTCGCTACCCAGCCTAGTGGAAAACATGTCCGCCCACTCCCTCCACCGCGCCCCCCCCCCCCCCCCCGTGCATTGACTTAAACCATCCCAGTGTATTCCTCTTTCCTCTGGACTCCCCACTGGAGCTCTTCTGTTCGGGGTCAGTAGATCTCTGAGCTGCTAAAACCAGGATTTCTGATTTTACTCGAATCGTGTGCCACGTTGCAGAGAGTTCCCTCCTTGAAATACTCGCACTTGGACTCTGTGGTCCATCTCGGGCACCCAGCTTCCTGGTGCCACTGCTGTGTTTCTGATCGTCTCCCCCTCCGCTTTGGGGACCCCCCACCTCTCCTGTGTTAGAATTGCAGTTACTCAGAGCTCAGGCCTCAACTCCCTTCCTTAGAGTCTTAACGTAGGTGGCTCACTCAATCCCATGGCGTCTTTTTACTTGTGAAATTAATGTATTAAAACTTACTATATTTTAACCGTATTTGATAAAAGTTATTAACTCTGAATTTTTCATTTAGAAAACTTTAAACTCCTAGAGAGAGCTCCGTCTCTCCAGACAATGCTGCTGTGTAGCAGAAAAGGAAAGGGGACGGTTCTTTTCTCTTGCAGTGTAGCGAGCTACATGGTATACATACTTCCTGAACACACTCATGTAATGGAAGCAGTACTTTTGGATACTTGCATTAAACAGTACCAGAAATAGAATAGAGGCCCTTGATAACCTCAGAATTTCAATAGTAGTTGTCTTCAAAATATTTTAAGAACTACTTTAAGAACTGCCTGTGCAGCCCTGGCTGGAGTGGCTCAGTGGGTTGAGTGCTGGTCCATGAACCAAAGGGTTGCCAGTTCGATTCCCAGTCAGACCACAGGCCTGGGTTGCGTACCAGGTCCTCAGTTGGGGGCGCACAAGAGGCAATCACACTTGATGTTTCTCTCCCTCTCTTTCTCCCTCCATTCCCCTCTCTCTAAAAATAAAGTTTAACAAATAATAAAGAACTGCCTGTGCAGACATTTTTGTTCTGTTGAATAAATGATGCTATTTAAGAAAATTTTAAAACATTTACTGTTAAGTAAGTGGTAATAGTTTTCTTAGACAAAGAAGATCATGGATTATTCTAAAGAAAATCCAAATCACTATTAATGACCTAACTAGTGGAAAATAAGACAATAGAGAGTTATTTTCAATTTAGTTGGGTTTATTTATTTGCTCATTTTCTCCATCCAATTAGTCTCACTGATTTACCAAAATTATGTCCCATAGCTCAATGAGAAATCAATACAAGTTGCTATACTTTTAGGAACTTCAATTTTGGCTTTTTGGCACTCGTTGATCTTCAGTTTTCTATAGCTTTCCTTATTGCTTCCGTCAGTGCAATCCTTACTCTGGTGAATGCTGGTATAGGTGGTGGACATTCCTTTAAGGTGGCGTTCCCTGCAGCTGATGAAGACGGGGACACTGGTAGGGCCGATGAGCTCGGAATGTGAGACGGTGTTTGTACAAAAGAAAACAAAGACTGTAGGTTGAAAGACTTTGCTGGGTTCAAACTTGAAGGTGTTTGTTGTGGTGGAATCAAGTGCCTTGTCAATTGTGCAGTTGAAGACCTTTGTGACTGAGCAACTGAACGTCTTAATGGCCATGAATCTGAGCATCTTGACAAGGTGGTGGTGTCTAAACGGCTTGTGGCCAGAGAAAATGAACTTCTTGGTGATGAAATCAAAGATCTCGATGTTTGTGGACGTGAAGATATTGATGAGAGTGGAATTAAATTTCGTGAAGTTGATGATCTTGGCATTAGTGTAGCCGGGTATCTTGGTGGTGGAATACAGTAGTTTGGTAATGCTGAAAGTGAAGATCTTGGTGATGATGAAATTGAAGATCTTGATAAGTTTGAAATTGAAGGTGGTGGTGGTTGTACAACTGACATAGGGCCAATTACATGGGTAACTGTGGCCCTTGTTGGAATACTCTGTAAGGTTATTGGAGAAGAAGTTAGAGGTGGAGGCACGCCCCGATCTGCACCTGGTGCACGCGGATCATCTCTTGTCAGTTCATAATGTGGAAAGGGTTCAGATGCTGGAGTAGAGAAGTCCCCTTTAGGTGGCATAATGGGAACAGCTGCTCCAGGAACACTTGGGCGGCAGGCAGTAGGAGATGTTGCTGCCGGGGTTCTCAAAACAGGCGGTGCAAGTTGAGTTGGGAGAAGCATGCTTGAGGAAGGTGTTTCCATCTTTGCAACTTTTAATAGAGCCAGCCAATCAGTTGGCAATTCGGGCGGTGAGTCTGGCGCTGTAGGGCTCACGAACACCTTTGTTTTAAGATGATTTTGAGGTTGGGATTGCATTACTTCTCCCCTTCCAGTTCCGTACCTAACGTATGGAAGGGAATTTTTAACCTCTCCGGCTCCATGCGTTGGCAGATGTGGAGAGCTGGATAACACTTTTCCTACAGCACTTGTTACAAACTTATTGATTTCATGCAATGGGAAGCTGGGAAATGAGGAGTTTTCATCTGGTTGATCCATATATGAAAGAGAGACCCAAGCAGTTGGGACCTGGTACGCTGAAGCTTCGTCTTCCATCCGTTGACTCTGAGGCACACTTGCTGGTTTACTGGGGTGCTCTTCATGCTTCTTTTGCTTGAGCTTTGCCCCCTTTTCTTCTTCACACTCAGGTACAGTCTTTTCTTTGTAAAGGTCAAAGCGATATGAAGCATCAGGAGACACCTTTAAACCTCCTGTATCCTCTTGGCAAGAAGGAGAACTATTCATAGGTAATGTCAGTACATGAGTATCATGCATTTCAGACATTTTAACAGGTAATTGCTTGGAGGAGTATACCTGCTGTGTTTGAATAGCTGTACTTCGAAAAGTCTCTGATTTCATAATTCTCAAGGATAATTCTCCATTTTCATCTTTGTAGGTAATACCACTTGTCAGCTGGATTACATGATCTTGTAAAACTATAACTCTGAAAAAGAGCCTGTCAACCTCTTTGGATATTTCCCCAAATATATCTTCAGCACGTTTACTCAGATTATTTATTTGTATAGCTATATTGTTTAAAGATGTCTGGATTACATGAATTAACTCATCTTGAGTTTTTCTGGGTATCACTAATGTATCTGGATACCCCTCATCTTTCTCTTCATTTAACGACATTTTAGTTCAGTACCAATGTTGGGGCGCCCCCACGTCGCCCCCTTTTATCCATCCATACCTTTTCTTAGGCCCCTTCTGAGCTCTGGCTGGTCTTCAGCCTCACAGGCAGCGTCTGCTTCTGGCAGAGGCTGCTCTGATCTGAGATGAGGTGCCCCTGCCTCCAGCAGTAGCCCGGCAACCAAGCTCCATGTCATAATCCCATGGCTGCGCCAGCAGCAATTGACCAGGGCCTCCAAGCTGTCACCTTGCCCCTCTGCCCTGCTCTCTGCTGGAACTGATTTCTCAAAGAGGGACAAAGACTGGCAGATGAGGAAGTCACAAAGCAAATAATATGTTCTCACTTATTGTATCTCAGGGGTGACTCTACATGGGAGGCCAAATTTTCTGTGTGACCTCTAGCTCTCTTTTCTGAATTCGGATAATATCGGTCCTTATCCAATTCCAAGTTACCTTCCAGTCGAGCTGTCTCTTCTAAGCTCCACCTGGATATCACATGGCCTCCTCAAACGGGTACTTAAAATTTTTTCGATGTCCAAAAAGCTATACATAATTAATATGTACAACTCTATAAATGTGGAGATAAGTGTACACCCATAAAATCATCACCTTAATCTATACCATAAACCTATCCATTACCTTCAAAATTTCTTTCTGCTTTATTATTATTATTATCTCATCATTTTGTGATAAAAACAATATATAAACTTCTTAGTAATTTTTTTCTTTATTATTATTTTTGGAATTGCAGTTGTCCCCACTTTTCTCCTCTTTGCCCACCTCCACCCAGTCACTGCTTCCCCCCTCTCTCAGGCCATCACCACAGCATTATCCCAGTTCATTGGTCACATAGATACATGTTCTTTGGCTAATCTACTCACCTTATTGCTTCTAGACTCCCCTTCCTCCTCCCCTCTGACAGATGTCAGTCTGTTCCATATGTCTATGCCTCTGTTTTGATTTTGTTCCTTAGTTTATTTTGTTCAATAGATTCCACATATAAGTGGGATCATGTGGTATTTCTCTTTCTCTGATTGGCTTATTTCACTTAGCGTAACACTCTCCAGAACCATCAATCCTGTCAGAAGAGGCGAGAGTTCCTTCTTTTTAAAGGACACAGCATTCCATTGTGTAAATGTGCCACAGCATTTTTATCCACTTATCTACTGATGGGCACTTGGGCTGTTTCCAGATGTTGGCGATTGTAAATAATGCTGCTGTGATCATAGGGATGCATATATTCTTTGGAATTGGTGTTCCAGGATTCTTAGGATATGTTCCCAGAAGTGGGATTGCTGGGCCAAAAGGCAGTTTCATTTTTAATTTTTGAGGAAACTCCATACTGTTTTCCACAGTGGCTGCACTAGTCTGTATTCCAATGAGCAGGACATTATGGTTCCCTTTTCTCCACATCCTCGCCAGCACTTGTTGTTTGTCGATTTATGGATGATGGCCATTCTGGCAGGTGTGAGGTGATATCTCATTGTGGTTTTTATTTGCATTTCTCTGATGATTAGTGACATAGAGCATTTTTTCATATGACCATTGGCCATCTGTATGTCCTTTTGGAGAAGTGTCTATTCAGCTCCTTTGCCCAATTTTAATTGGATTATTTGTCTTCCTGGTGTTGAGTTGTATAAGCTCTTTATTTATTTTGGAAACCCTTATCATTGGTGAATATGTTGTCTGATACAGTGGATTCCCTTTTCATTTTGTTGTGGTTTATTTTGCTGTACAAAAGCTTTTTAATTGGATGTGGTCCCATTTGTTTATTTTTCCTTTATTTCCCTTGCCCTAAGAGACATGTTGTCAAAAATATTGCTAGGAGAGATCTCTGAGATTTTACTGCTTATCTTTTCTTCTAAGATTTTTATGGTTTTGTGACTTACAGTTAAGTCTCTTACCCATTTTGAGTTTATTTTTATGTATGGTTTAAGTTGGTCTAGTTTCATTTTTTGCATGTACCTGTCCAATTTTCCCAACACCATCTATTAAAGAGACTGTCTTTACTCCATTACATGCTCTTGCCTCTTTTGTCAAATATTAATTGACCATATAAGTATGGGTTGATATTTAGGCTCTCTGTTCTATTCCATTGATTTATATGCTTATTATTATTTTAGTAACAGGCTGTTTTGATTGCAATGGCCTTGTAGTATAGTTTGACATCAGGTATTGTGATCCCTCCAACTTTGTTTTTTTTCTCTCCAAATTTCTGAGGGTATTCAGGGTCTTTTGTGGTTCCATATACATTTTTGGAATATTTGTTCTAGATCTGTGAGATATGCCATTGGTATTTTAATAGGAATAGCATTGAATTTATAGATTGCTTTGTGTAGTATGCACATTTTAATGATGTGAATTCTTCTAGTCCCCAAACACAGTGTATGCATCACTTATTTGTGTCTTCTTCAAGTTCTCTCTTCAGCATCCTATAGTTTTCAAAGTACAGGTGTTTTACCTCCTTGGTTAAATTATTTCTAGGTGCCTAATTTTATTTATTTATTTTTAGAGATAAGGGAAGGAAGGAAGACAGGGAGAAAAACATCGATGTGTGGGAGAAACATAGATTGGCTGTCTCTCACCTGCCCCCAACCAGGGACCTGGCCCACAGCCCAGGCATGTGCTCTGACTGGGAACTGAATGAGCAACCTTTCGGTTTGCAGGCCAGCACTCAATCCACTGAGCCACACCAGCCAAGGCTAGGTACCTAATTTTTTAGTTGCAATATTAACTGGGACTGTTTTTTAGTTTCTCTTTTTGATAGTTCATTTTTGGTATAGATATGCCATCAATTTCTGAATATTAATTTTGTATTTTGTTACTTTGCTGAAGTCATTTATCACTTCTAGTAGATCTTCGGTGGAATCTTTAGGGGTTTCTATATATAATATCATGTCATCTACAAATAATGAGTTTTGCTTTTTTCTTTACAATTTGGATGCCTTCTATTTCTTCTTATTGACTGGTTGCTTCTGTTAACCCTTCCAGTACTATGTTGAATAAAAGAGGTGAAAACGTACATCCTTGTCTTGCTTCTGATCTTAAGGGAAACACTTTAATTTCTGCCCATTGAATATAATGTTGTCTGTGGGTTTGTCATATATCACTTTAATTACTTTGCTGAGAGGTTTTATTTTTATCATAAGTTGGTGTTAGGTTTTTATCAAATGCTTTTTCTGCATCTGTTGATATGATCATGTAGTTTTTATCTTTCATTTTATTTGTCATGTATCACATTTATTGACTTTCTAAAATTGCACTAACTTTGCATCCCTGAAATAAATCCCACTCAATCTCGATGTATAATCTTTTTAATGTATTGCTGGATCCAGTTTGCTAATATTTTATTGAGGATTTAGCATCTATGCTCTTCAGGGATATTGGCCTATAATTTTCTTTCTTTATAATGTCTTTATCTGGTTTTTGAATTAGGATAATGCTGGTCTTGTAAAGTTATCCTGGAAATTTTCCCTTCTCTTGACATTTTTAGAATCGTTTAAGAAGGATAAATGTTATTTCTTTTTTGAACATTTGGTAAAATTCACCTGTTAAGCCCCCTTGTCAAGGACTTTCATTTGTTGGGAGTTTTTAGATTACTGCTTCCATGTCACTAGTTGTAATCTGTCTATTCAGATTCTTTGATTCTTCCTGATTCAGTTTTGGAAGAGAGAAGACCAAAATAAATAATATCAGAAATAGAAGAGAAGAAGTAACAACTGACACAAAAGATTTTAAGAAAATATTACAAACAACAGGCTAATATATTGGACAATCTGGAAGAAATTAATTAATTTCTAGAAGTATACAGTCAGTCTCCCAAAACTGAATCAAGAAGAAACAGATAATTTTTTAAAATTTTTTAAAATTTATTACACTTTTATTTCAAAGAACATATTTTTAGGCTACTGATCTTTTCTTTTAATTGATTTCAGAGAGAGAAATATCAACATAAATTTATTGTTCTACTTTTTTATGCCTTCTTTGCTTGATTATTGCACATGCTTTGAATGGGGAATTGAACCTGCAACCTTGATGCATTGGAACTCTAACAAACTGAGCTACCCTGGCCAGGGTCTAGTTCTTCTTTACAAAAGAGGATGGTTATAGAAGTTTGGTGTTAAATTGAAGACTGATTTTAGTGAATGTATGGAAAGGAATGTGCAACTAGCATTTAAAATAATTAGCTATTTTTTAGATCCTGAATTTTATTTTATTTTATTTATTTATTTTTTTAGCAAGGGAGATTTACTGTTTATTGTAGCAGATTTATATTCCTGCATTAAAAATATGGAACACTTCATGAATTTGCGTGCCATCCTTGCTCAGGGCCCATACTAATCTTCTCTGCATCGTTTCAATTTTAGTATATGTGCTGCCGAAGTGAGCGAAACAGATAATCTTAACAAACAAATTACCACTTATGAAATTGAAACAGTTATTTAAAAACTTCCAGCAAACAAAAGTCATGGACTAGATTGCTTCAGAGGTGAATTTTACCAAAGATTCAAAGAAGAACTAACACCTATCCTTCTCAAAATATTTCAGAAAAATTCAAGAGGACAAATGACTCCTGAGGTCATTTTATGAGGCCAGCATTATCCTAATTCCAAAACCAGAAAAAGACACTACAAAGAACAAAAATTATTGGCTAATATTCCAGATGAACATAGATGCAAAAATATTCAAAAAAACATTAGCAAACTGGATCCAGCAATACATTAAAAAGATCATATACCATGATCAAATGAGATTTATTCCTGAGATTCAAGGTTGGTACAATACTAGCAAATCAATGAATGCAATATATATCACATAAGCAAAATGAATAAAAATCATATCATATCATTAGAGGCAGATATACCATTTGACAAAATCCATCAGCAAAGTGGGAACAGAGGAAACATATCTCAACATAATAAAGCCCATATACACACAAAATCACAGATAAATCATACTTAATGGGGAAAAATTAAAAACATTTCCCTTAAGATCAGAAACAA